TTTACAACACATTTTATAAAAATACACTAAAATAAAATGAATTTTTAATTTAATATAACATATCCATTTAATGGAGACATTCTACACGAAATCTTCTAACTTATGTAAATTATTTTGATTTGTCAAATAAATTCGTCTATATAAATAATTTAGATATTTTACTTTGATAATTATGAGATATAAATTAAATGTAATAATATGTTTTTTAAATAATGGAAAATTAATTTATTAAAAAAATTAATTAATGAGAATGAAAAACTTCAAAAAGTATTAAGTTGATTAAAAATAATTTTTACCGAATTGTTTAACGTCAAATTACACTTATTTTTTCCAAATTTCAATATCAACCAAAAAGATAATGTAAAAAAAAAAAAATCATGAGTTATGGAACAAGACTTCTCAGAATTTAATGAATAATAAAAAACTAAATTAAAGGCTGATGGAACCAAGTCGATAAGGTGGCGGTGCATGACGTGCTCTGTGCTGGTTCAATGTTCGATCACGAGCGTTATTTTGGTTGGGCCAATATCAGCCTAGCAATCGGAGCTACCATCCCTCCTCCAGCGAAGGACTATCTATTTGTACCGGAATAAAGAATCTCCTTCGCTTTGAATTAGGTTGTGGTATTTCACAACGGACCATTTACAATAATATAAATAATAGTAGAAAGTAACTTTAGGACCTTAAAACTAATAACAAAGAAAAACTTTAAAATAATAACATCCCAGAGAAAATTAGGTAAAAAAGCACTGAAATAATTCAAAAATAAAAGGTTTTAAATAATTGGTGAAATTAAGACTTAGATCATTACTTATATGCAAATTATTTAATGAACGAGACTTTTACTGTTGAGAATTAATATTAAGATGCCATCTACATTTTTGAAAATAAAAATTATAATGGAAATTATCAATAGTAGCCTGAAAAATCATTTTGTATCGTTGCTAGGGAGCGATTTCTTTACTTGATAAAGTATTACAACAAAATTGTTGTGTCAAACAAAATTTTTTCGTTTAAAATTACTTATAACGGAAAGTGTTTAGATTATTGTTTTTTATTTGAATAATTGAAATCTTTTTGTTCATGGAATTATATATCCGTCATCTTTATCTTAATTGAATAATGATATAAATATAATTTGAGGAAATAAAGAGAATTCATGTTAAGTACGTTTAAAAGAACTTTATGTATAGTTTTTTTTTCAAAAATGAATAGTGAATGATGATTTTGGCGTAATAAAATAAAGAGATAAAATGAAGTGCGGACGCATAGTAACAGTTCAAGTAAATCAATTTGTGTGGATTGCGATTCAAAAAAAATCAATACGTGACTATAGAATTGCTCATATTACTTTTAATTTTTAATTTGTTATTAGTAAATTAATATTTCATGTTTGAAGTTATTAAATTTTATTATAATAATTAATAATTATTATAATATAATAAAATAAATAATTATACACATTAGGGATTAATGCTTTCAGATCCGAGTTTCGAATTGTAGTAATGACGACTAAATTTTTTATTGATGGGTAACATTAGAATATGAATAATTTTCAGAGAAATTTATATTCTTCAACTTCAAACTTTTTTAAACTTTGAAAAAAAAAATCATGATAGTTTTATTGCTTACATCTTTTAGCATATTTTGTTATTGGAAGCACTGTCTAATTTCACAATTACGGCTGTAAAAAAAGGTCTAGTAGGGTCAATGATACAGTAATTGATAAGGTTAGTTTTTGAAATAGAAATATAGATTAATACGGATGTAGAAAATTGTTGGAAGAATTAAATTTAAAAGACAATTTCATTTGCGAGGAAGAAGAAGACAATTTCATGGTAATAACATTTTAATGTAATACAATTAATATTGTTGTCTTAAACTATAACTATTTTTTTCGGAACTCCCAGATTTATTGTTTTTATTTATGATTGAACAATTATTACTATTATTTTACAAAGTAAAACGTTTCTGAGATATTGATGTATTCCACTAAAAAAAGTTCAAAAAATGTGTAGGTGATATCAAAGAACTGTCACCCTTTTCTTCTCTTTCATTTACGCAATATTTTAGTATACCTTTCATATTCTGGTGCAGCGTTCTGGTGCCTAGAAGCTTGCCACGGGTCCATGGTGGCGGTTTTTGGCTGTTGAGGCTACGCGGTTTATTATTTTACGCGCAAAGGCTCTTAACTCACTGTTAACGAATTAATTATGCGTGTGTTCTGTTGTGCCGATCGATCGCTCACTACTATTGGGAATTGTGTTTAGTTGATGTTATGTATTATCGAAACATCAACGACGATAGAGTGGATGAATCGAAAGGAAGCGTTTACACTCAGACAATAAACTTAATGTAGGCCAGGCGACCTTTGACCACGAACGACTACCAGAATTCTAATAATTTTGCTGCTTCCTGTCATCATTTAAAAAACTATAGGTTCGTGGATTTCCGGACCTGAGGGAACGGCCCTACAGCTTGTACCGCACTTATAGGTGGGACGTGGCCAAACACCACGATGCGAAACACGTGCCACAAGTCGTGCGTCGTACCATGTGTTTGACGGCGGCACCGCAATATCACAACTACAATTCTACTCACAATAGCTTTTTATCGTGTAAGTGACGCACGTGAAGGTCACATAAAAAATTATTATCCATGATGGACGTGCAGGCTGAGATAATCGCGAATAAACATTAAAGTGTTTTTATTTATCAACTATCGTTTTGGCAATGTATATTTATGATAAGGGCAGTAGAATGCATTTTACCACTTGTTATGTATGATTTCATGTAGCCAGGAATTGTTATTTATATTATTGATATTCACCAATGCTTTTCAACAATCATTTTTTCTACTAAATATTAGGCAAGTTTTGTTCGAAACTTGATAGTTCATTTTTAAACTTAAAAACCTTTGTATATGGTATTAATTCAATATGTCATTATAATTTATTTTGTGACATGACGGAGAATTCATTTGAAGTACGTTATCACTATCTAAGAAAAACGTTGCACGACATTTTAACTCCAAATTTCATACTTTTTGAGTAAACATATGACGAACAAATAGAAGAAGAAAACACCTATAAATAGAAATTAACGCAAACATGATTTTGTTCATAATTTTCCCAGTTAGTTCATTGAATAATTACAAATTTATCTGATTAATTGTAAAATCTTATTTATAATGTTAGATAGTCTTTAGAGTTTAGACTTTTATCGCTAGAGCCTAATCAGTTAATACATTCAACATACAATTTAGGGCTCATTTGCATACGATTAATTTTTAACGCGTGTAACGTCATCTACTCAAAATAATAATGTTTTTATGAGATTTTGTGAGTTTAATCAGGCATAGTGCCTGATTAAAATACTTTTTTAGTGACAGCTGTTTTTTTTTTTAAATAGTAAAAATAATGAGTGTACAACATAGATAGGAACATTATTTGAAACTAGTTGATCTCAAACTATGTTTTATATATTAAAATAAAAAAATAATTTTCAATGCAGATAAAATTTATGATGCAACAGTATGTTGTTAAAGGGAAAATTATTTTGAAATCATTGATATAAATATTGAATCATTATCAGTTACCAACATTTTTAAGGTATATGATTCATTATAGAGTTTCATTTATAAAATAATAACAAACAATTTTCGAATCTTTATGACAGTCAACTTAACTCAACAAAGATATCGATTACAGTACCAATATAGATAAAAATTTAATTTTTAAAACCCAAATATTTTCCCAATTGTGGAATGCACAAAAATTTTAGTAATTTAGCAAGTAATGAAATTTTATAATAAAGATTTAAAATACAATAAAATGTGTTGTCAATATTTTGTTTTTAAACTTATCTAATATTGATTCTATGATAAATCATTATTGGATCCCTAATAATTAACTTAAAAATTTTGTAAAATTTGATCTATAAAGTTTTAAAATTGAATTTTTATTAAGTATTCAAAAAAAAAAAAATTGTTATTATCTTTAAAAGGATAAACTTTTAGATAAATAATAGAATATTTAATTTTGCACGTAGAAATGGATACCAAATTTAATCATGTACAATTTAACACACACATTTTGCAGGTTATTACTCTACTTTTAAATATCTGAATTATTAAACAAATCATGGTTAGACATTTGGAGAGGAAATTCCATCTCAACTTAAATAATTTTGCGATTAAAAATGTTTCGGAGAAAAATATATATATAATTATTTTGTTCTTGTTTGTGGTTCTATAAATAGTGTGATTTGTCTAAATACTTGTTGTTATAGTATTGAAAAGTAATATTACGTTTAAAATTAAATCTCTTTGAATAAATAATGATAACATTGATGAATAAATGTCGTAATAAACTTCTATGCATGTAATACGAGGTAATTACGCTTATAAAATGTGCATTAAATATTATGTTATGATTTATATATATATATATATATATATATGTTCTAAATGAACTTCATTAAATATTATTTAGACGATTTAATGAAAAAATTCTTCAGCGAAATAGTTGATTTTTCAGTAGATAGTTTTAATGTAAATAATTGTTAATTATAAGTGAAAATTTTTATATAATCACTTCAACTTATTGATATTGTTCATTTGATATTTTAAAACCTAAGAAAGGTTGCAGGGATAAAGTTTCTAAAAAGTTTACAGTTCATATGATAATTATTTTTAACTTTTTGAACTATTTCCTATGTACTAATACGGACTATATTATGATTAAAATTTGTTGTTTAATGTTTTTTTTTACTATTGATAGTTGTTTTACTTAAGCAAAAATTTTTATTTAAAATTAGTTTTTCTTATGCAATATAAAAAATATGTTTCAACATTTCATATACTTCGGGTAAATGAGCATTAAAAAAAATAAAAATCATTTTTAACAATAGATTTTATTATATCATTATTTATAAATTAAAAATAATTTTATATAGAACAACAATTGTTAAAAACAGAAGTACAACAATAAAATTATTTCGATGAAATATTTAAGCTCCTTAATTAAAAATGTATACAATATATGAAAATTCTTGAAATAGTTATTATTGACTTACATGTACAACCATTTCTATGAAATGTTATAAAAATTATTATAATATTAAGTTGTAGTTTTGGAAAATTTGTACAGTAAAAAATATCACATATAGGTTTTAAATACTCAATCAACTTAAGAAATTCAATTATGATTGTTTCGTAAACAGTCGATCTTAATAATTTATCAAACAAAAACAACTTTTGGTTAAATAATTATTTTAAAGATGTGCATTATTCAATTTGTAGTGATTGTTGTATTGGAAGTTGTTAATTTGACGTGTCATCAGGATAAAGACCTAGTTCAATACTTAATTGTTTTGGAAGTCTTATTTTTGAAGGAAATGTACTAACTGGGATATTACATCCTTCGTCATTTTCTTTTATTACACTATTATTTTCACCATTCCATGAAAATTTAGATTCATCAGAATCAATTGTCTTTGTAGTTTCTTCAGGTATTTTTAATATTTCTAATTCAACATCTTCTTTAATTCTTAATATATCATTATCTGAGTTTTCTATTGTTGACATATTATTGTTATTAAATACTACTTCATCCACTATGCTCTCGGACCTTTCCAATGTTAACTTTTCATCATTTTGGACGATTTCTACCGGATTAGGTTGAGTTGGGTTGTTGTTATCTGTTGTTTCCGATTTTACAGTATTATTTTTTACCTTGGTAACTTCTTCGAGGACCACTGTAGGTTCCTCAAGCGTCTCTTCCAACACTTCAATATCACTTATTAAATCTGGAAGTCGATCCTCTAACGAACTATTAATTGATTCTGGTGGTTGTTCTACGACTCCTTTACATATCCTATTTAATATTTCCGAATTTGCTCGAAGCACTTCTGATAGACTAACGTCGCAGTCAGCTTTTATTTTATCACGACAAAGATCATTACTTTCAATGTTTTCATCACATTTTATATCACAGTCACTACTGTCTGATGGTTCAGTTTCTAATGCCGGGTCGTCACATAGTTCAGTCGACGTGGACGAAGACGACGAAGAATAACTAGGTCGTTTTCTGTGTTTTGTCTCTAAAAGTTATTAGTTATTTTTAAAATAAATATGCACAGTACATTTGTAATATCTTACCTTTTTTTGTTTCTGGCTGTTGAACATACCTCAGCGGTATTGAACCTGGTATAGGTCCTACTGACGTGCAACGTAAAGCCGTTTTACCAAATAATAAATGATTCATTGCTGAAGAGTTGGCAGTGCTAATTATATTTTGTCCGTTACATGCGGCTAAAAAGATAACAAAATCATGAAAGTGTTCACAGTTATTGTAACATGATATATTTTTAATTATGAGGATAAATTTTTATCCTATTTATGAGTCACCATACCACTCTCCGGCGACGGACTAACCACCCGTCCCGGAGTATAAATGATTATTAAAAAAACCTTCTCCAAGGGAGAAGTCGCTATGGCCCTTAATGGACTAATAAAAGCAATAAAAAAAAAATTATGATCTATTTTTTAATATATTTTTTATAAGAAATTATAACAACCTGTTAGTATAACTTGAACCTGTTTCTGTCGTTCTTTGAGTTTAGTGTATTGTTTTTTTAATGATGATATATCCAAAGCCACTTTTTCCCTTTCTGATTCTAAGCTAGGAGCTTGCCGTCTTATAGTTCGATTGGTTTTACTATCTTTAGTAAAAAAAATACAAAGTCACAAGCTAAAAATTGTTGAAAATTTTTATGTAATTTCATTACATACCTTTTCTCTGGTTACTTTCCCTTCTATCGTATCTTAAACCATAAGAACCTGATCTGCTGTCAACATCATCATCACTATCAGTATCATCAATGTCTGAATCCGCGTAGAATAACCGTAGTCCTCGTTTTGCCATATGACTGACCCAAGGGTTTATGTTATACATGTATCTTTCTCGAAGTTCTTTAACTTCGACTAACTCATTCATTGTGCTTATTGTCTATTAAATATAATAATTTATTACAATGTAATTTATATATTTTAATTGTTAGTTATCATTACTAACATTAATTAAATTATTAGCGTCCATTAAGCCAAATTCGAGCATTTCTCGGGTAAGTACAGCCATTATACTATAAAACTCATCCGCACTAGACACAGTCATTATACGACTAAAAAATATTAAATAATTTTATTATAAGTGTTAATTTTATGTTCTCAATTTTCTCAATACTAATATTAATAAAATATGAGTTAGTAATTTTATTTTGATGAATTAACTATTAATGTGAATTAATAGATATAGTCAGAAATCAATCATAAATGTTAATGATGAATTTATTTTTGAATCATTTTAACAAATAAATAAAAAAATAATCCTAAAAGAATAATATTTAAATAATTTATTATATTTAACTAGCATAGAAATTGATCTAATTTAATAATGAATGGTCAAAAACAAATTTTGGACTTAGGAAATTATTCTTATTTTTATACCTAGACAGGAAGAGGATTGCGGCCGAAAAATAGTAGCAACTGCTCTTTACCTCCAGTCTAATTTTAAAATGCTAATAACTTCCGAATGACTGGTCAAAAGTTATTATCGACCCGTCACTTTCTCAATTAAATCATTATATATTTTATGAGCTAGTTAAATATGTATGTTTTCATTAAAAAAAAAATAAAGTTAACACTCCTATGAGATATAAGGGATGAACATAAAAACTAAACTCAACTAAACGACTAAGAAACTAAATAAAAGGACTATATATCTAAAAAACAATCAAACATAATTTTTTGTAATGTATTTATTTTGTCTGTAAATTTAATAGGGTATGATAAATGAATCGTCCTTATATGTTGTTTTTATCTATTTTGTTGTGTACAGATTATAATGCATTATATAAATGTAATAATCATAATAATTGTTTTAATTTTTGTTCACAATAAATATTTGAGATTTATTAAAAATATTTAAGATAATATTTTTAGCCGCAGCAAATAATATATGCTTTTTTATTTGTATTATAAATAAAGAAGTATTTATATAGTAAAAATATATTTTTAGCTCAAAATTGTAATGTCAAATATAATTTTATTATATTTTTTGTTTACTATTTAACTTTTCATATTATAATGATATTAAATTATAAAGCTTGTTTTGTACATTGACTTACTCAGAAAGGGCTTCCCACATAGCTAATGCAGTTTTCAACAACACTGTACTTCCTTCAAGAAAAATCAAATCCCAGACGCGGAGCACAGTACGTTGGGGAAGACAGTTACAAAACAATGTTAGAAACCATTGCATAGTAAAAACATTAGTCAAAGGTGGTTCATAGCTATTTCCTGTTGAACAAATTTATTTAAAAGCATAAGTTAATAACGGTCATATTCGTATATTTATTTGACGGTATATAAAACTTTCTTTTCCAATTAAATAAATTATACTACTTTTTCACTTGCCTAAGTCCTTTGATTCATTTTGCAATTTATCTAAATGTTTGGATAAATTTTGAAGTCTCACTCGCAGTATATCTCTAAATACTGCCATATCTATAGATAATCCCCTGAGATTATTAGCAAAATAACCTTCTGGAAGTACGCCTTCGATTAAATATATCATCACCTGAAAATGATGATTTTATAAATAAAAATATCTAAATAAGATAAATCCAACATTTAACTCGTAATTTATAGTTTTAACTTCACAAACCTTAAGAGCATCAGATTCATTTTTCTCCATAACTTGTAATATAAGCGCAGCCAGCATATTGAACCCCTGGCAGTATCCTACAGCTTTGTTCCACCGTGCATAACCCAGTAACACTTTTTTAAGAAGACCTTGATTTTCTAATCCGGAAGAACCACAAAATAAACTGCAACCAGTGCGATGTAAGTCTTTTACTATTTGTACGCCTAACTCTTCGTCATCTGGATTTGTAGTATCATTAAAACAAAATCTTTCGACTTTTGGCCACTCCACGTCTCTTGACGCTAAATATTTTTCTGCTAACGTCAACCATAACTACAAAATAAAAGTACACCATTTTATTATACAGAATTTACTGAGGCTACTATTGATTTGCGAGTGAAAGTATAAAATAAAAATTTACATAATTAAAGTTTTAAAAATGATTAAACAATTTGCATAATTTTAGTTTATTTCAATATATTTGCATGGTGAAATTTCTAATGAAAAAATTATTTATTAACTTTTAATTAGGTAATTTATGTATTAGACGAGACAATTTATATACGAATAGATATTTTTTATATTAAGTAATAAAATAAAATTTGTAATAATCTTTACTTAAATATAAATATAAAAATATTTATCAATACCTAAATACTAGCAAACATTTTAATTGTTATCACTAGCAATTTTTACCGTTGAACAAAAATTTTTATTCACAGAACACTTATCTTATTAAAATAATAAATTTTTACATTAATATAATAAATGGTATGTTGACAGTATATTAATAAACTGTCTGTATGACGATACATGTATTAATGACACTATGTTTACTCATAATTTTCTCGTGAATTTTGTGTATTTTAACTAGCATTAAGTAATGTTACTTATGAACCTGAGATAGCAAAAAAGTTATTACTATATAAAGAGACAACCTAAATTTAAATGGTTTTAAAATTTATTGTAAACTAAAAATATTATTTGTTGAATAATCGCTACTCTAATAGCTAAAAATTAGATTATTTAACAGAAATACGATTATTGTTGTTCTAACGAATGTATATTATATGTACATTTTTTTTCAAAATCTTGTTATTAAAATAACAAGATTTTGCTATTAAAGTATAATCAAGCATTACAAAAGTTCTTTTTTGGCATGCAATTATTAATTATAAAAGTAATAAAGGTGTCATAATAATTAAATCAGCAAATGCATTTCATTTTAGTGCCGAGCGTTAAAAAAATAAAAGCTCATAACTCGGTCAAAAACCAACGGATTTCAACAAAATTTTCAGGGTACCTTCAGAATGTTTCTGGTAAATATTTTAGGTTTAAACTAAAAAATAGTGACGGTAATGAGCATTTTTGGCGTTAAAGAAAAATGTTTTCTCATCTTCGTTAATAATTATTCCAGAATAATGTCGTTGAGCCTTTCATTAATAATAATAAAAAAAAAATGAAACTTAGTCATTAAAGTAATTTTTCCAGCATTAACTAAATTTTCAATGTTTAATTATATAATAAGATTTCATTATATTGAACAATGAAACTTGTTTCCAATTACATATTAAAAATAATTTGTGTTTTACTTACAGTGTTGCGAAATTCTTGAGGTACACCGTCTGGAAGTCTGGCTACCATTTTCATGGCACTTTGCCACTGTTCAAAATCGCTGTCTCCAGGACCAGGCTTTACATTGAATCGCATTTTTGTATCTTCACCTATAATAATAAATAGACACACTTTAGTAACCTATCCCTGGGAATACTATAGCTTCAATATAGTCTTTAGTATCTCTGTATATAGTATCTTATAGTTTATTTACTAAGTATCACCGACATTTTTTGATGGCTAATTAAAATTTTCTGTTAATTTAAATAACCTGTATTTAAAAAAAATGCACCTTTTACTACTTATAATTAAATTATCAAACTAGATTGCCGTTTAAAGTTACTTGTTTATAAATTGAAAAAAAAGACAACTTTTTAACAAAGCTCTTTGCGGTAAAATATGCGATACTTATTTATCTTGCTATGGTTGGATACAAATAAAAGTCTCTTCAATTGAAAACTTAAATAGGCTTATTTAAATTTGCCAAACGTTTAAGTGATTAAACTAACGATAGTTGAGTGAATTTCAATTCATAGAACGTAAAGTATTTTTTACACAAATTAGATTTTCTCGACGACATTTTGAATTTGAATAATTTTATTAGTGTCAAATGTAATAATAGATGTATATTAAGAGAATCATGTTGATACGTTTTTAAATTTAAATACTTTTTACAGGTATATATGTTCTTAAGTAAACTATTGATACTTAAATACTATAAAAGTAAAAGTATTATCATTTTATAAAAATTTTGGTAAATTTATACAAAAAGCGTATTTTAGACTTTATAATAATGAACGTAACGACTTAAAAATTTTTTTTCTCAAACACTCCAAATAAAAAGTAATTTTTTTGCTTATTTTAAATATTAAAGAGATCATAAATAATCTGTTTTATCACTAAGCTACAGTGATTTACAATATTATAAAGTATAACAATTTAAATAAAATAATGTTATTCATCTATATTTGACGATAGTTTAAATAATTTTACATAAAGTAATAATATTAATAAAAATAAAATAAATGATATCTTAAAAAATTATCCTAAATATCTTGATAATACTTACTAAAATGAAAAACTATACATTTTTTCTTTAGTAAAAAACTATAATCATAAACCAACTTTTATAAAAAAAAAAGAAAATGTAGAAAACAATTTTTCCTTAATACGTATCCGCGACTTTTCAGTAATTTTTTTGTGGCTTTTGAGTTTAATATTTTTAATATTTTTGAGTTTATTATATCAATAATATAGTTTAAATTTTATTTATTTAAATAAAGAGAGTCTAAACTGACAAATGTCTTGATATGTTATTTATACAAAACAAATATTTGATTATTTATTAAGATCTAGCAAACATTTTATTGCTGTTTAATAATTTTTTACTTATCTAAAATTGAATTAACCATTTTCAATGAAAGACTTAACATGTTAAATATACTAAATAGAATAAAAGTGTCAGAATTGTTTTACCTACTTTAGTCTTTGAAGATGAGAAGTATTTTTAAGTAACCTAGAAGAATTGATAGTTAGATTATTTATTTTTTTTAAGTACCTAATGAATTAGATTAATATAATCTTTTCATTAACACATCGTTTCATTACTTATTGATTAAATTGTAGTATTTTAGGCTATTTTTTGTTCATCTTACATTCTTTTTACTAATAATTAAAAAATTTATTGCGTTTCAATTTTTTAAATAAAACTAAAAAAAAAATATTTTTATGAACCCAAACGTGTTTAAACATTAATACATTCTATAAATCATAATCGTATTAGAACCCAAATTAAGAATAGAAGTTAGAACCTTCTTCAATTTTTGTACTAATTATGTTTACAACATTTATTTTTTCTGATTTTCAACTATATTAAATGCATTTTCAATCCAAAATAAAAATATTTACATTACAAAAAAAAGAAAAATTATATATATAATTTTTATATGTTTATGTATTCATGAAAATAATCCATTAGTAATAAATAAGAAAATGAATAATATAGTTAGATATTTATTATTAATAATTATAATGTGTTTTATACTTTATATGGCATTACTTAACAATAGCTAAACTCTTAAATTGTATACATCCATCAATCTTTTAAATGAAAGGGTTAGCTTAAAATTATATCATATTAGTATACGGTTGAAACGTTTGATTCCACTACTTACGTATTAAAGTGGGATATATAAGCTATATAAGAGAAACGACAAAGAGTTATGATATATGTCTCATATTTCTGACAAGAATTTCTCAAAAACGCAGTACAACAAATATAAGTAAGTATTAGTTATAATACCCTCTTATATCACAACTCATACAAAAATCGTTGGTAAAATAACATATTACCTTACTAGTAGCACTTAATCCCTTCGCCATTATTTCACTAGTTATATGAATTTTAATATAATAACATAAAATTATTTTGTACATGATTTACATTCATCGGAAGGCGAAAAGTTTTTACTATTTATGTCTCGGGTAAATTTTTATTATTTTACAGTAACAATTTTTTGTTTATAACAAAACTAATAATTATACAAATCCTCAATAAATTGTTTGTTGAAACTTAATAATGATTAGTTAATAATACATAGTTTTAATCAATCGCACATCATTATTACCCAATTAAAATTAGCATACGAAATCAAGTGATTTAAGTAATACTCGTAGTCATATTTAGTTATCAATCAGTGTCTAGTGTTTTATATTTAAACATCATTTATTATAAAAACAAAAATATTTGTAAAATTTTAATGTAACACGTGGGCTTCTGTATTAATAAATACAACTTTCATGTTATACATATAAGTTTCATGACAATTCATTTTTTTAACTATAAGTTTTTATTTGAAAATCATAATTTTTTAATTTTACAAACAGTAGCCCACTTCAATGGAAATTGTTTTATAGTTTTCAACAAAAAAGTTGTTTAACGCGTTATTTAATTACATCTTACACAACATCATTTGGGAGATAAAATGTTATCATATTGGTGTCATTTACAATTTAGTCACGTTTGTCTGTCTAATGAATATAAATTGGCTACCAATAATTTATACACAATTAATTTTACTGTTTTTCCTTAATATATTTCATAGAAAAAATATTCACTTTTTAAAATTTATCTTAAAAATATATATGTACTGTCAATTTTTAAATTCAAAATTATAATAATATAACATACGTTATTATTTTATTTTTGGCTTCGATGCGAAGCTGAGAAGGTATTGGTTTTACTATGATGCGTTTTTTTTATTTTTTTGTGTCTGTTACCCCTTTTTCTCAGCTCTCACCGAACGGATTTCTTTCAACGATACGTCAAAAGATCACAAATCTATTCTAGTCGAAGACATTACCCTCAAAAATTGAAAAAATTTCCCTCGTTCCCCGTAAATGAGGGAAACCTCCAAAAAAATTACAAATTTAAAAATTGCTAATTTTCGAAATTTTTTCAATTTTTTTACTAAAAACTGCCGTAACTTTTTCAAAAATGAACATATCAATATATATATATATATATATTTTTATAAATGCTTGATGTCTTTACGTATCATTTAGTATATATTTTTTTATAAATCTAACTCTTTACCTGTCTATAGGTGGGATTTAAAATGACAACTTTTTCACACAAAATTAACTTTTTCAACTTAACTTTTGAAAATGTTCCGGAAGGTCTGACACTTTTATATATATCTTAAATTAAAGCTAATGTAATGTACTTTATTTTAAAAAAAAAATTTGACCTCTGGACTTGTCTTCGTGGTAAAAATGAGTACCGAATGCTATTTTTGTGTGAAAATTCTCGACTTTATTTTTTACATTTTTAACTTTATAATGTTATAACTTATTGAAAAGTGTATGGATCAACACAATTTTTTTATGAGAAATAATATTTTTTAATAATTCCTTTTTCATTCGACATACTTTATCTTAATCAGGATATTAATAAGAAACTAGCAAATTATGTAGCTTTTGGAATAAAACACCAATTTTTTTAAAATTAAACATTATCTAAAGATTTGCATCGAAGCGTTTTTTTTTATAGTGATTTTAATCACTTTCAGATATCATTATACTTGATCCAATAATGCCACGTCACCACTGTGCCGCGATCTCCCTGTGCTGGGTTTTTTTTTTTTACTAAAACCAATTAGGTAAACATATTTGACTATTATAAGAATATAGGATTATTTAGAACTTTTGTTAATTTTGCAATCCGTCCATTTTTTAAACATATATGCATAGTGATTCTTTAACTATGCCTCACGAAATATCTTAAAATGTTTGAGCTGGTTATTACTTTATACTGTTATATAATTTTGATATTATTAATTTACATAAACAGACACAAAAAAAACACCTCATAGTAAAACCAATACCATCTCAGCTTCGTATCGAAGCTAAAATTATGGAATTAACAATGTTTACTTTTCAAAAGCTTTATAAATTATGCTAAATAAATATATAACTAAAAAATTACATAAATAATAATAAACTTAACGTTCAGTCATCTTATCTCAATAATCTATATCAATAACCTTTACTCCTAATATTCTTTTTCTCATACATCCTCTTTTTGCATTCTATTAAGAAATCTAAAAATTACTTCAAAATTATAATTTCTTATCTAATTTTCCTCCACTCCCCAATAATGATATACATTTTACATTACTATTTGGTAATTCTTTATATAACTTAATAAATAACTAACATAGCAAGGGATAATTAAAAATTAATTTTTTTTAAGTCTATTCTAAATATACTAATTTCAATAAAAATTAAATTTATGTTATTATATTAAATGTTGAGTAAAATCAATATTATATTGAGAGTTAGCACAATTAAATATTTCTAAACAATAAAAATATCAAAATATTATCTTAACATTGATTTGACTATTATATTTAATGAAAATGAACACTATAATGTTTGATAAAGCGTATTTTAATTATTTTTTAAAATGTTAAAACAAATTTGCAAAATGTCTTTTTTGAGAAAAAAAACTTTTTCTAAAAACTAAATTTAAAAAAACTAGTTTTTATTGAAGGTTTTTAATTTAAATTATCTTATATTTCAACAACATTGATGACTATAGGGCAAATAT